CCACAAATGAAAAAAATGTGGTACAAAAAGAACAAAGAAGCAAATCCGGAAAGGGCAGAATTTATCATGCAAAAAGGCCACAATACAGCTATAATAAACAGAGAAAATGACAACAGTGTATTAGCCCATGCAGATCAAATAAGGACCCAGGGTGAATGATGAAGAGCAAAATGATGAAGAAATGTCTACGATTCCGTCTGTTAATGATTTATTAGAACAACCGTTACAGAATGAAACATCAGAAGATGAAATAATGCAGGATCAAGTGGGACAGAATGAGTTTGAAAGTTCGGACGAAGATCAAATAATGCAAGAAGATGCCTATGATTACAGCTTAGCGCGGGACAGATCTAGGTCTTCCAGAAAAAGAAATACGGGAGAGAGAGAAGTAGAGCAAAGTAATGAAACTATCACAAGAAGAAATACAAGAACTACTAGAGGTATAAAACCTATACGTTTCAGGGAGATGTAGTGACACTGGCAAATTAATATGCCTAATTTGCATAAGTGCAAGAGAAAGCCTATATAACTCATCACTGAGAATAATGTGGTATGAAGACAAGCTTAGCGACTGACTAGTGCTAAACTTCGACTTCTACTGATGAGGATATTAAAAAAAAGCTATAAAAAGAATGAAGGAATAATAAAGTATCACTTAATATTGAAGCTAAACTTTTTAAAATAGCTTACTTTTTCTACAATTTCTATAACAAGTTTCTCAGTTGCATGACGGAAATCTAGAATCAGAAATGCATCCCAAAAAAGTGGGTTTATCATGCATTAATGCACTATGGAAACAAAAAGAATTAGTCCTCTAACATTGAATTCATTATGGTGAAAATACTAATGAACATTGTCTCCAATGATCATAGACTTCCATTTTATGAAAGTCATCTCCTCACAACCCAGTTGTGTTTTAATTCTGCTAAGAGGTGTAATGATGGTGTATATGTCATCAAACAACTCCAGTAAATTGCATGCTTCTTCAATAGAAAACTTGTATACATGCTATGTCGACCTCACAGCAACATATAACCACATCAATAGAGACTTCCTGTCTCAAACACAAGAAATTTCTTTTCAAAATCTGACTGAACTGAATATCTAGATCTGATAGAGGAATTATATCAGTCTACAAAATCATACATGTTTGGGGAAGGATCCATCAGAAGTACAAGTAGAAAGAAATAAGAACCCCAGTCTATTTAATGTTCTCCAAGACTATGCCCTTGTACATTTACAAGCACAGATGTGAAGAGATGGGTATTGATCATTTGACCATTCCATACAACATCCTAAATTTAAAACAACAATTTTACTTCCCTTCCTGAAGCCAATGAGGAGGACTGCTGATGACATAAATATTTGTAGTTGGGATAAGAACAGAAAAAAATCAACATCTGCTACCAAGTATTTCCAAAAGACAAACTATGATCTAGAATGAAAGCAGTGATGACACACACCCTGAATCCATCACAAAAATTCAGGATTTGTAACTAGCAAACACTTCAAATTCCTTGGTGTATGGATCAATTATAACAAATTTAGTATAGGAGATAAGGAAATTGAACATAGAATAGGTTGTGTAAGAGGTAGTTTCATCCAACGCCACAAATTGCTACAAAATCAAGACAAACCTAAAAATTCAAGTCCTGTTCTTTTTTACAGCTATGTAGAATAATATTTCTGTATTGTCTAAAAATATCTGTTGAATATTATTAGGTGTATGATGGGCTCGTTGATTAAGATCAGCTTTTATGGCAATTTTTCTGATAAATGGCATGTTACTCTATGTGAAACAGTTGTAGGCATTTAATCATTCTATATGACAGATTTTTTCATTTTTTTTAATTAACATTGGAATTCAACCTCCAAATAGACATGTGAATTACATTGTTCTGATTTAATAGTGGTCTATGATATTCTACCATTATTTGTAATGTTTATAATTTTTATAATAGATAATTAATCTTACATTTATCACTCTCATTACATGATGTCTATCTACATATTACATTCTCCATGTCTGATTTGTCATGTCTATAATTTTAATGCATAAAATTTTTATATTTTTTTCCTAATTATTATGTGCATTCTTATTCTTTTTCTGTAAACTTAATTTTATTTGTTTAACAAGATATTTTGGAAAGCCATTATTAATTACTGTTTTATGTTACTTCGTTTTTCCTAAAATAGGATATGAAAAGGAAATTAGGTTGGCTCTGTGATCAGATCTTTTGATAAATATCTTAGACCTATGTAGAGATAGAAGAACTAAACATAAATTATTTTATGAAAAAAAAACAAGAAATAACTCAGTAAAATTTATCAAAACTAAACTTTTCAGTGGTTTTAAATAAAACCTTGCTATATATAGATATATATATATTTGTGTATTTAGGCAGCAATCCTTCTTTTATGCACATTTCATTAAAAACAACAGACAATTTCCCTGGTCAGTAGGTGTGTCAGAGGCTGAAATTCATCAGAGGCTTTTAACACTCCAATTATTTTAAACAGTATTTTTATTTTCTTGAATAATTTTCCTTGAATAAAATCTATCAAATATTCAGACAAATAGAGAAAATACTCAAATATGAGTACCAACTAAAAATAACATTTAAAGTGATAAAAATATGTTGTAATAATAAATAAAAGTTCATTACTTCTTTAGAAATGTATGTATGTATGTATATATATATATATATATATGCTAAGAAAATTTCTTCTTTTCTTCTCCAGAATCTGTCTTACATATTTATAAGTCTACCATTCATCTATGCTTTGAATATCACTGCTATATACAGTCCACCTGCTATATATTTAGATAAAATCCAAAGAACAGTCAGCAATATTATTGGTCCTGACTTGATGTCTTGTCTTCAGTTACTTTTCCACCACTGAAATATAACTTTCCTGTGCCTTTTCTATAAATACTTTCATGGTAATTTTCTTGATGAACTCTCTACTGTGGTACATGCACTTTATGAATTTAGGCACAGTGAGCCCAAATTCTGAATTGCAAATTGGAAAATACCAAAAATGCAGAAATTATAATATTTGGGAAGTGTTTTAACGGAGGATGGAAAGTGTGACATTGAAATCCAAATGCATATTGGTGTAGCCAAAGATACATTCTAAAAGCTAAGTAGGGTACTAAGAAATAAAAAAAATTTGTGAGAAACAAGGAAAAGAATACTAAACTGTTACATGATTCCTGTATGGCAATGAGTGCTGGACAATCTGCTCAAAGATGTAAAACAGACTTGAAACAACTGAAATGTGTTTCGACAGAAGGATGCTGAGTATACCAAATATGTGAGCAACAACAAAGTTTTAGAGAAAATGGAAACAAAAAGAAAATTATACTTAAAATCAAGAAGAGATAATTGAATTTTCAAGAGCACATAATGCTCGGAAAATCTGATACTCACAGGAGAGATTGAAGGCAAGAGAGACAGAAACACATAACATACTTAGTGAGCTTGAATAAATGGATAGTGGAACAGGGTTTAGGAGAAATAACAGAAAGGCAAAATTTATTAAGAGCTATATGCAACAGGAAGAGCCATGTGTAGAGCCATGATTGCCTAGATCTTGAATGGACATGGGGCATAAAGAAGATGATTAGATTGACAACAAGGACTCATCAATTTACAGTTGAATTGGCTATATGCAACCATAAATTTTATGCAAAGAGTTTCTTTTATTGCACTTCTTGCTTGTGGAACTCTCTTCCAGCTCCATGCTTTCCAGTCAAATTTGATCTTCAAAAATTTAAATGCATTGGCAATCGTTACCTTCTGTCTTCTTGCTTACTCTTCTTCTATTGTTCTCACTCCTTAATAATGTTTCTCTTTTTTCTTATTCTTTCCCACTCAGTTACCCCCTTGTGTTTTAGTGGCTTTACTGCTTTGCATAGAGTGAAATTATTAAATAAATAAATAAATAAATATATATATATATATATATATATATATAATAATCTCCTCTTATGTTAATGGACTTAATCTAATGTTCTCCAATGACCACATAGACTGAACATTACAGTTAAAATTTCAGGTCTAGCATTAGCTATGTCAAGCTATGGACTTAAGGATTAATCCTTGTATATACATATCTATTTATTTATTTTTCTATCTATTTATCTATCTATCTATATATATATATATATATATATATATATATATATATATATATACACACACACATATATATATTTGTTAAATTTTCATTATAATTTTCTAGTTTTCTAAATTGTTGTATATCAAAATCAAAGTTGTAGATAAACTGTCCAAGATTTCTTTTCATTTTATTTTTGTTTTTACCACAGGAGACAGTATTTTAAAATATTAAGACCCTAGAAACTATTATTATACAAAGTAACAAGATAAACAGGCTACATTAAATATAATATCTTTCACCACTGGAGAGAGTATCTTGAAGAGTACATATTTTATTTAGTATGCACACACATATATATATATATATATATATATATATATATATATAATAACAAAAAAAATATCTTGAAGTTTATATGATATATTTAATATGATCATATTTATAAATAAAGATGCATCCTTTTTGGAGTACTCTTACACATGATGTCATCATAGCTTATTTCAAACTTCCAGCTTTCCAAAGAATACCAGGATGTAGGCAAAGGAATTCTGCCTGCCACACAGGCACCACATTGGTTCTTAGACAGTTGAAAGTCCTTTTTTTTATTTACTAATTTTTTTTATCTTTTACATGTTTTTTTATTCTTTTATTTATCTTTTGATATTTTTTTCACTCATTGCTATTTTTTCATTTTCATTAAATGTTGAATTGTTGTAAAGTTGTATATCATAGTGACCAATACTCAAATGGTCACACAATCAAAACAAAGGCAAATTCCTGTTCTTGTCTCAGAGTGACTATTTATAGTCTCCTCTTTTCACATTCAAATTAGAATAGCACTACTCACTAACTCATTATTTTATTTTTACTTAAAGGTTTCTACACTCACATATCCACACTGGCTGATGTCGAAGAACATGTGCAGGTAAGTTTGTTTCATGTTTTCTTTAAGGGAATGCATTCATGGCAGTAGATCTATCTGAAGAAATATATGTAACAGTGGCCTTACTCTTAGCAAGAAAGGAAAGTGAAAGTGACAAAATGACAAATGGAGATAAGACATGATTGAAATAAAAGGATTTTTATTTCCCTGTGATTTACATGGTTGGATCATTTGCTTGATCCAGGGTATCATATTTCAGTCATGGAGAGACTTGAGAATTTTCCCAGGTAGTAGAGATAGACACACGGAGAAAATCAACATGCATATATGAGATAGTGAGATAGACTTGTGGGAGAAATATTACACTAATTATCACATTGTAAGACAAGAGTTAGTCTCTGCTGCTACCAGAAGCACTGCTGATGATCTGGACAGTCATGCAGCCTCCTGCATTCAGTTATATTTGCCTGTCATAGGGTCCATCCCTAATGCAAGGTTGAAATTGGTGTTGGCTTTATAGTTAGTCAGTAGCTGCTGTGAAAACAGTGTGGACCTTTTTCTGATTGGTCAAAAAAGATGTTTATGAACCTGGTATTTTATAGCAGTATTCTGTAAATGGGTGCACAAAATCGGACAAAATTAAAGTCTGTTTTGTTATGTGAGCTATGGACACCAAAGTGAGTACTTCCATTTGAGTTAAAGAGTTGAAGTTCTGATAGGGTACAATATATATATATATATTTCATTAAAAATATCAAATTATCTACTATAAAAAATTTAAGACAGCTAACCTTATCCTCAAAAATAACAACACACCAGCTAAGTCAAAATTACAATGAATGAACATTATCTTATGAGTTCAAATGCCCCTTAAGGAACTATGTTCCTGATCAAATCGAATTCATAAATAATAACATTGGTCACACAACTACATGTCTATCCAGCCATCTTACATTTCATCTATCTGACCATAGCTCTATTAGAACTCATTTAAACACATACACAAAGTTACCAGACCCCATTCAAAACATACTAATAGAATGCACAAATATAATAACCTCATCCATCTGTAAAAAAAAGATTAAAAATAATGGAAGCCATATTAAATAAGAAAAAGCCAACTCTTAACAATATTAACTACAAACAAGGCCACATATGCTAACCATGTTCGGAACATAAAACATCTGTATAACACATAAAAAAAAATACGCATAACGCACACACTCAATTAAACTGAGAAAATAAAATTATCCTTGATAATGGCTAAAAGTATAGCTGAAAGCACTCAGAAATATAGAACATTTGGACAGTTTCTACACACTCGGTATCCAAAAAAGAAAGCACTTTTTTGAACACAAGAAAAATTAAATAAAAAGCTTAACCTTGTCTGTCATTTTTAATGAAACATGCATAAATGAAGGATTGCTGCCAAAATACACTATATATATATATATATATACACACACACACACACACATACACACATAATCTTACCATCTCTTCAATGGATTTGTTAGTTGATTAATTTTAGAATATGCAAACTCTTGCTGGATTAAAAAGTTGCCAGAGACATCATCAATGGCAAGGAAATCAACAATAAAATCACAGAAGATACAAGCATGGACACTAAAATCAACACCGAGTGGTGACAATCTGTTTCAAGTTTGAACTCAATCTCCAAACCTAAAGATTGTTCTCAAACATGAAACAGATTATCACCACTATGTGTTGACCTCAATGTCCACTCTTATATTTACACTTTCTCTATCCCTGATATTGAGCACTTTTACCCATAAATACAGTATATGTTAAAACTATATTTTTATCATAGATATATATATAAATATGATAAATATAGTATATTTTAAAACTATATTTTATCACATATATATCTTGCAGATGCAGGAAAATATTATATTCACTCTCATTTAAGACATTATTTTGTATATTTCAGTATGTAATGTTTAAAGCAAGATATAAGTACATTGTGAAATTGTTATAAAATTACAAAAGTACTTTAGCAATCTCCAGAAAAAATTACTGTATATAAAAAGCAAGCAAGCTATCAGTACAGCTGAACATAAAGCAATGAATCGCAATAGAGAAAATATCCTACATAATTAGAGTGATAAAACATTGCAAGAGAAAACAAAGCAGAAAACACTTTATAAAAAAAAAAGCAAGCAACCACAACAGTTGAATATAACCAAAACCCAATTTTACCATTATTGGTATTTCCTTTCAGTTATATCTCTTAGGTATTTTCCAGCTGCTCAATAACAAGTGAGTTGAAGAGTGTTTATGTATGATGATCTTGTATCAATGAACATTGCCAGTAGTTTGTGACAATAGTTCCTTTTACACTGCCAGTAACAATAATAATAACAATGTCATTTAAGTAAACTATACTATCATAGAGTTGGGCTTGGTAGAAGTAACCCACTGAGAGAAAATTATAGCCTACACTAGAGATCATTGTGGATAAGATATGTCTATGGGAAGCCTCAATTTCCCCTATAAAATGCAGGGCACTTTTCTTGGCCATTTTTTGGGGAAAAAAATTTCATCTAGTATGCCATTAAAAATGGCATATAGAATAGGAATTACAAGGAAACTGATGCTAACAATCCAAAAGAGATAGTTGGAATGTCTGGGACATATAATGAGGAAAGAATTGTTGTGGGTCGGTGTGTGCATTGAGAGATAAATATGTGTGTCTCCTGAAATGCCCACAACAAACATGGAAGACTCAAGGTGTGAGTCCATGTAAAGAAATGCAAAGAAACAACAAAAACAAATATATGTACAAACAAATGATAATGTATTAACAAGAAAGGGTTACAACAAAGACAAAAATGTGTGTGTTAAATGAATATGAAAATGTAATGGTTCAAAGTATGTGTAGTAAGTGAATATGCATATGTACATGTGTGTGTGTGTGTGTGTGTGTTGTTCATGCATTTCCCAAAGGGAACATATTCTCTGCAAGAGATTTACATGTTGGCATCTAAGCAGAAAAAGTAAGAAGATAGTGATAAAAAATTATCACAGAGTATTTATAGTCCTGAGAGCATCCCCTGGTGGTAGTTTTGAAAATTGGGAGAAGGTAACCTGACAGAAGGTTTGGAAGGTTTAACACTCACAAGACATGTTTAAGGAAAGAGAAGCAGGTGGAAAAAATGGGTAACAAAATTTCTGTATGAATTTCTGGGATGGGGAGTTATCATTATTTATAAATGAACTATTGTCCCCATGTTTGTTGTGGTTATCACAGTGTTTAGCTGAGTGGATTAAAGTATTGATTCATGTATTTGGGGACATAGTAATTGTGATTTCAATCCTTGGTCTAAGCAGTGTGTACTTTAACTCAGTGAAAACGGGGTGAGCTACATAAGAACTAAACAAAATATTCATGGGCATAGGATGAGAAAGGAGAACAATCTAACCCCATAGATTATATATAGAGTCCAGTTCAAAATTCACTGACAGTTACCTGATGAAAGCCAGAGGATACAACAACCAAAACACTGTGATAACAACAACAAAGGTGGGGAAAATAGTGTGTGTGTAAATGATGAGTAACTTGACAAGTTCAAGTGAATGGATGGCAGAACAAGGAAAAAAGGAAGCTAATGAGACGAACTTCACATTAATCAACAAATGACAGGAAGTTGTGGAGAGCTATCATTACTCTTGAAAGGTTTGTTTGTTTAGTGGCATATCAAATCCTTATGGGTCCTTTAATGCTGAAATTTAACTTTCTTGGGAGCATTAATAATTTCTAAAAAAATGTATTGCTGGTAATTTTTTTTTTTTTTTTCAGTAATGTATTGCTTGTAATTTTTTTTACCTATGAAAATGTATTGCTGGTATTTTTACTATAACAATGTATTTTCATACATTTATAGTGTTTTGAACCCAGTTTGGGGGTTAACTATTTGCCCATAGCTGGGACCCTAACAGATACTACCACCTTATGTCAGGGTGGACTGATGAACAAAAGCAATTAAGAGGTGGTTCCATGCTCCACAAAACCTCCTAATCAGGCCTTGCTGCCGGATGTAGTTTATCGCCATATCCAGGATGTCCTCTTGAAAGAATAGGCATATAAAAAGTAAAACATGGATATATAAGTTATTAGTAAATTTTATATTACCATTTAGCAGATTTATATAAATACTAGTCATTAATTAATATTTGGTAATATGATCTTTTGAACCATATAAGTTCGGTATAAAAATAGTTCATGTGTATATGCCAGATTTCTTTCCAAAGGATGCAAACAAGGAGGAAGCTTATACTTAACATCAGGAAGAGGCAGCTGAAATTTCTGGGACATGTAATTAGAAAGGAGGGCTTGGAGAATCTGATACTCACAGGGTGGATAGAGGGAAAGAGAGACAAGCAAAAGCAATGTGTGACATACCTAACAGGCAAGTGGATGACAGAACAGGGTCAAAGACACATAGCAAATGAGCAAACCTTATTGAGAGCTACAAGAGATAGAGGGAAGTGGAGAGCCATGATTACCTAGGGATATGACACATAAAAGAAGAAGTATACTAGTTTAATAGTGAGATACAATGAAACAAAACTCTTGAAAAAATGTACTGAGATTCAATAAAGCAGAGATAAAGACTTCACAATTAAAATAGAGATCAATGAACTATTTGATTAATAAGTTCCCTCTATATTTTTTTAAGTGTTCAATGGTATCTATAATTCATTGATTACTCCTGGTATGACATATATTGCATTTTGCTCAATATCTTTCCATGTTAAAAATTTTATGTGTTTAATATAACAGTGAAAAAGAAATATCTCTAGGAAGAAAAAAAATTAACGACAGCAAAGACAGTAATGACAAAGCCTATTTCAAAACCAAGTTGAAGCAAGACAATCACTTAATACACAAAGGTATCTGAGTACTTTGCATGAAATACTTGAACAAATAAGACTGTTATCTAAGAAACATCAAAGTAAAGGAACTGATTAATTAAACAGCTCATTTTGCTCATGAAGTAATTTTGTCTAAATGCAGA